CTGTTTCATAGGCATAAATAATTTCTGTGCCTAATCTTAGTGTTTTCTAAAAAGGAAAAGCTACAAAAATGAGCATGAATATAAAACCTTATCTCCACATTATCCTTTTAACTTAAGCCCTTATGGGAGGTCATGCCAAAACCAGGCGTTAAGCATATTGTTTTGCCAGGTCTAGGACAAATAGAAAGTATATGACTAACAGAATTCTTGCTGTTTCTGATTCTAGGTGGAAAATTTCCACTGATATTTATCAACTCTCTTCTAAGTAGACATAAAATGGTGGAGTAAAAAGCAGAGGATACAGAGTAAGAGAAAAAGAACTGGAGTCAACTTCCACCATTGACAAGCTGTTGTGACACTGTAGGCAGATGACTTAATTTCCCTTATCGAAAGTATCCTCATTTGTGCAACTGGGGCTACAGCAAATACCTAACTTAAAGCACTGCTAAAAGAATATATACTGAAAATATTTCATAAACTAAAGAACACACAAACACACACACACACATATATATATATATAAACTGTATGTTTTATTGTTTATTGTTTCTTAATAAAAATATATGTTCGTTTTAAAAATTCAAAGATATATGAAAGTATTAAGAAGAAAATTACCCATGGGCCTTTTACACAAATTGTTACTTATTTTAGCTGAAATAAATCTAACATCAACCAAAACTAATTAAAGCAAAACTGACTTCTGATGTTTATAATGAAAATTTACAAATGACAATTTTGTCCCACAGTTGATATGATATATGGGTATGGTTCATAAAAGTCAAAGCCATAAAAATTCCCAAAATAAATATTTCATGAGCCCAAGCAGTAATAACAACATAGCCTTCAGATGCAACAGAGATGGTAAAGTGTCTGAAATCCCATTAATAAAACTGCCACAGCTATATGGTGACATCAAAAACTGAGATTTCTATGAGCCACTGCAATGCTAAAAAAGGAAAATTTATAAGAAAGGAATTCTACAACTTCTCATTTTGGGACACTACTCAGAGTCACATCCCTGGAACTTCTTAAACCTCTCCTCTATTTTTCTCTTTCTCACCCTCCTCTCTCATAGCCTACCTCCTCATTTTATTATTGGAATACAATTGTATATTATTCAAAAATGAGAAGGACTGAAGTTCTGATACAACTGATGATACATCTAATACACCATGAACCTTGCAACCCTGCTAAGTGAAACAAGTCAGACACAAAAAAAACACACTTTTTATCATTCCATGTATCTGAACTGTCCAGAATATGGAAACTCAAAAGATAGAAAATAGATTGCTGGTTGCCTAGAGGTAGGGATGGGAGAGAATGAATGACAGCTAGTGAGTATAAGGAATCTTTTTGAGGGCACAAAAATGTACTCAATTTATATTACAATGATGATGGCACAACTCTGTCAATATGCTAAAAAAAAAAAGCCACTGAATTGTGTATGCTTTAAATGCATAAATTGTATGGTATGTGAGTTATAGCTCAACAAAGCTGTTTTCTTTTTTTTTTTTTAATGATCTTACTAAGAATCCAAGCTTAAAAAATAACTATTCTCATTCTACACCCCTCCTCACCCTACCCTCCAGGATTGAGCAAAAGTGATGACTAAATTATATGTATATAAAATGACCAGATTACTTTTAATGATAGCCATGAAATCCAAATGAGTCTTGCCTCCCAAAAAAGTAGATACCCTCTGACACCCTAAGTCAATTTGGCCCTCAGATTCTCCATAAGCTGTGTCCTTGTTTGGATAGTTCTTTATTCTTGTAATATCTTTCTTACTACATCTTTCAAATCCCATCTTTCTTTTAAGGTCAGCTCAAAAGTTGTATCTTTCATGAAGTCTTCCCAATGTGCCATCAAAGGTAATCTCACTTTTTTCTGAACTTTCACAGCAGTTCACATCTTAGGGCCACTCATAACTTTTAACCCAATATTACACATAGTACTGCCCAGTATCATAGTTATTGCTGATATTAAAGGAGAGTTCTTAGGAAATTCCTATTTGATAGGAAGATGACTGCTTAGCAATTGAGAATTTTATTTTCATCTGGCAAATTTTAATTTTAGAAATATATGAAAGTCATTAAGAATCAAGTGGTACAAAAGGTATGAAGGTTAATGAATGCTCATAAAGATAAAATTTTTCTTGACCAAAATAAAACAAAATTAACTTGACATACATAATCTGAAAGAAATTCTTAAAGCACATGAATAAAGATAGACTTCCCAAGGAAACTGAAAGAAAATTGAATTACAAAAATTTCAGAATATTTGTTCAAAAATCAATTATTATTTTATAATAACATTATATTTTCCTAGCAAGTTCTATTACGAAGTTCTAATAATCCTTCTACTAATTTTCTAAGTCATGCTTTCTTCATTTCCTGCCATATCCAAAATCCAGACCAGCATTTTCTTTATGAACACCCTATTTTAAAAATCTCCTAATTCACCTCCCTTCCCATAACTCCTTCCTTTGTTCAATAATACTTATGGAGTCATTCTGTGTGGTAATGGCGAGGGTAGGAACCTGGGAGTACATAAATAAGTATCAGAGGCCTGGTCTCCAGGCACAACTTACTTGGAAACTTGATACATGTATATGATTCATCACAATACTCAGCAGTGTATATATAAGTACCGCAAATGTCATTGAGAATTCTAAGCCATGGGTAAGGCCTCCTTTGTTCATTTTATTCACTAAAACCTTGTGTAAAACTGCCCAAGTCTTGTGCTGACTTCATCTCCAATTTCTCTCCAACTTGCTTCCCAAGCTAATCAAGACAATCTTGCTGTAAACTATAAGTAACTTATTCACAAGTAATTTTGCTCATGATTGGCTATTTATCAGCACAGTCTTAACAACTTTCTTTCTGCTGATTCATATCTACTACCAATTTAGCCTCTTACTTTTGTCAGTACTGATAAGTATGTAACTATATGTATTCTTATCCTCTCATAACTGGCCTTATTTCTTTTGTATTTGTCTCATAGTGTCTGTCGAAGTGCTTCCTCAGAGTGTATATCACAATCACCTATGGGGCTTACTAAAAATACAAAGACTTTGATCCTACCCCCAGGAAAGCTCCTCAGCAACTTCAGGGTGAGAGTTGGGCATCTTTATTTCTAAAATGCCCCCACTGTTGACTGATGCACACACCCCAAGCTGAGAACACCTCAAGCTGAAGGAGCTTATTGCAAAGCTCCCCATAACAGCAAACATTCAATTCTTATTAATTCACAGCATTGAAGCTAATAAATAACATTTCTCTACATAGCCTACCCTGTTATCAATCCCTAAAACTATACTAGCTCTGCTCCAACTGCAACATGTGGTTTTAAGACTTCATTTCCTGAAGTACTCCATGGAGGGACACTATTACCTTGTCTCTTTACATTGTTTCCTATTTGTTGAGAAATGGAGGCCTGGAATGCAGCCATGTTAGACAACACCACATAAGAATGTACTCTGGAGTCAGATTTAAATGAATTACAAAAAGAACAATGTAGAACCAGACATTGTGAGCCGTTCTTATTTTCAGGGAATAGGTTTTGGAATTTGGTCAGTAGTGTCTTCCTGCTTTCTGAGGTACCAGTCTCCTGAAATGCCTGAGGTAGTTCAGGGAATCCCTGAAGACTAAGGAAGACTTTCAGCTGCCTCTAGTGCATTCAAGGACTCTAATCAGATAAGTAACCCAAGCCCCACCCAGACCTACAGTTGCCTCCCAACTCCCAACAACTCTGACACATTCTATTTACACAGCTCTGTGGGGGAGCAGTATGAACTTTTTCCAGAGTTGTTCCTCACAAGTAGCAGCAGTGTGAGTCACCCAGCGAGGATGGAAAAGAAATGTATGATATTAGCCAGGGGCGTTCGGAGACTGATCACAGCACCTTCTCCCCTTACCCTCCCCAGCCCCCCCCCCCCCCCCCCCCCCCCCCCCCCCCCCCCCCGCCCCATTTCAGAAGTGGGCTCTGCCTCCTCCAGAAATCACTTCAGTCTGAGTCACAGCTGTGGGTTCCAGGAATCGGCAGAGCCACTTAGTCTCCCAGCAAAGTTGTGGATGGGGGCAAAGACGCCAGCTCTTTCCCTTCAGCAGGAGCCCGCGGGTCCCAGATTCCACAGGCCTCTCCCAGCAGCTCCATCTTGCTTCCTGCCAGGAGGAGGGGCTGAAGAGGAGGGCCCAAGAGTCTGGAAAGAGCCCAGTGGAAGGAAGCCGCTTGACAGCAGGTAAAGCCAGGTGGAGATCGCCACGAGGGGAGAAAACGGAAAGCAGCGGGATTAAAGGAAAGCAGGAAAGAGACGCACGGTCATGAATTGCAACATAAAGAAATTAGCCGGTGTCTGAAGAGTGCCGGAGGTGCAAGCAGAAGTAGAATGCCCCAGGGAGGAGGAGACAGGCAAGTGACTGGCCAGTAACACAGGCGGACAAAAGGGCCTGACGCGGGAGAGCTAATGAGAGAGGCAAGTGTCAGAGTGTGAGGACAGAAGTATTAGAAAGAAGAACATGGCTCAAAAAATCGTCAGGAGGCGAGCCCGCCGGCCCACTGGCCAGACTGGAGACGGCCAGAAAGGAGTCTCGAGCAAGGCTGTCAACGTGTCAGGAGACTTAACAGACAGGGGAATAGACAGGGGAAGGGACAGCACGCCGCCCAACAACTGTTACGAACTGAGCACCGACTGTGGGTCATGCACTGCACCAGGCACTGCACAAACACCATCTCGCGGAATCCTCTCAGCAACGCGCAAAGCAGGCATTGTTATGACTGCCCCCACTTCACAGATGAGGAAACTGAGGCCCAGGGAGTCTCAGGAGCTCGTTCAAGGTCACGGTGCGAGGGAGGGAGTCAATATTTGAACCCTTGGCAATCTGGCTCCAAAGCCAAAGAAAGATACCGGCAGCCGGTGGGTGAAGGGGAACATCGAGGCGGCCCCGGGCCCCCGGGATGTCTCCCGCTCCCGCTCCACACCTCAGGCCCAGCGCACTCACCCGGACAAGATTGCTCACGGCTGCCTGCACGGCGGCCACGGGCGCGGTGAGGTCAGGAATGGCTTTGCCGTCCACCTCACCCTCCTCGTGCATGATCACCAGGTGCGAGATCTGCTGCGCCACTGGCTCCAGGATGCTCTCGATGGTGCGAGTATGAAACACCGGCATCGCGGCGGCTAGCGGGGCGGCGAACCGCAGGCTACACAGAACTGGGAAGCGCGCGGCCGGCAAAACGCTGAGAGACTCCGAAAGTGACTATCGAGTCAGGGCTTCCCTTGGCGTAACTAGCCTCATGGGCGCCCCTCCTCCTCGTTCTCGCCGTGCCCAATGACAGCCTCGCTGAGACCCTTGCCACCATTTCTATTGGTCCCACTTGGATACGCTCCGCCCACGCCGCCGCGCCGCCAAGGCCCCGCCCCGCCCCCATTCCCAAGGGAGGGGCCTGGGATTGGGGCTGCGCCGCAGGGATTGCGACCGGATTCCCGAGCTCAGAGCCCGCGCTCCTTATAAGGGCATAGTGGGAGCGGAGTGTGCTGCTGGAGTCCGTGGCCCCGCCCCCGAGGACCGCCCCCCCCCAACCCCGCAAAACCCCCCCCCCCCCCAAAAACAACCCAACCGGGCCGGGGCCCCCCAACCCCGGCCGGTAAAGAACCTGAGGAGACCTAGAGGCCATAGCTCCCCAACTTTAACCTTCACTAAAATCCTACAAAATCCTCTTTCCATTTCCTCTGAGCACTATATCAAAACGTTTTTAGTAAAACATTCAAACAAGTTCATAGAGAAACATGAGATTCCTATTCTTTTGCACTCACGCTCCACTCTCCTGGGCGATATACACTGTTAATAATAACCATTTTCTGTACATTTATATTTTCTAAATAAAACCGTTTAAACGTTTTCCTGGGATTTTATATTTCCCCCTTAAAGTTCCCTGGTTATCGTTCACTATTAGAAAATACAGGTGTACCTCCTTCTTTTTAATGGCTGATGGCAGACCACAGCATGAATTCATACTTACAGAGCCATTTTCCTAGTTAATAGACATATACATTGGGTTTTTTGTTCCATTGTTAAACAATTCTGCAGGAACATTATATTCATGCATCTGTGTTGTGCAACTGTGTATATAGATAGGACAGACACCTGATAAGAAGTGAAAATGCAAAGTATATACATTTTACATCTTCATAAATAATACTAAATTACCTAATCCTCTCACAGCATGCTTTGTGTAAGGCATATTCTAAACGTATTCACCTTAAATTCTCTTTTGATGAATTTCAAGCTTCCTCATTTCGGGAGGAAACACTTTTCACTAATATCTTCAAGCAGATGTTCCTCAAGTCCAATGAAAATATTTTCCTAGATGCCACATTTTACAAGAAGTTAAACTGTATGTTTCCCTGTGCAATTTTTGAAGCTATCTTTGTCCAGCAATGTATATCCTGTTTCTTCTGTGCATGCTACCAAATTCTGCATCTTTCCTTTTCTTAATACCATCACCTTTTTTTGATACTATTTTTATGTCCATATAAAAGCATTTCTATAGTTCTCAATTTTACATTAGCATTTATTTGGTATTTTCTAAGCTTCGGGCACTATATAAGGTCTTATTTAAATTGAGCACATGTAGCATATACCACTTTATTTTCCCCCATTTTACAGATAAAGAAACTGAAGTTCTGTACTTTGTCTAAGACTATACTCCATTTGTCAAGACCAGTGCAAAGTAAAACACAAATTCCCCTATTCAAAAAAGCAGGGAAAGTGCTTTTAAAATACTAACATGTAAAATTTGTTCCTTTCATTGGCAGTCTCTCTCCTAACATTTCATGGTATTTTTTTCTTTGCCATTTAATGTTGTCTTCCCTGGACAGGGCAATATCTTTCAGAATATGCAGACTCCCCCCACCACACCACACCCACAAACACAGAGAGACCTACTAGATAACCAGCGGCCCCTCCTGCCAGCTGCTGTACTGACTAGGGGCAAGAAGCCAACCCAGGCATCTTCCCTTTCCACAGGCTTGCTTCCCCAAGTTCATAAATGGGTAACCTCAAAAGGTTTTTGCAACCTATACACTGAGAATTGCTCAATAATTCCATCCAAGAAGGGCAAGAGACTTCCACCACTGAGTCAACTACCAAACATGCTCTGGCACTGCCATGGTCCTGCTGCATCTGTTGACACCATGAGGAGCACACACAGAATCCTGCCCAAGGTGGAGCAGAGGACAGCTGTCGTCACCGGAAAGAGGCAGGGATGGGAATGCCGAGCAGCTTAGGGGCCAGAGGTTGGAGCAGTAGACAGATGAAAAGCCACTCAAGGGAGGTGATGGGAGGCAGAACCATACAAATGCTGAGACCAAAAGCCTTTGGTGCATGACCCATTGTTCTGTTAGATTTCTCTTATTAAACCACACATGAAGATAATATTGTTAAGAATCAAGTCAGTGACTGTGTTAGACCCTAAATGGGAAGCTTTTCTTAGTGCAGGCCCTGATTGCAACTGCACTGATTGATCAGGCATGAACCTGACCTTAGTTACACAACTGAGATCTGACCATGACTGCCTTTTAATTACCAAACAGCTCCCTAGAAACCCCCATTCCCTATGAAGTCTCTCATCAATTTTTGTCTAGTCCTACCACGATTCCCACAGCTGTTTTCTCTGCTCATTATTTCATACTAATAATAGTAACATTGGTTGAGGGAACTATATATAATTTCCCCTTGCAATTCTCACTCTGCCTCCACTTGGCTAATTGTATTCTAAGATGCAGTTTAACATGTTCTTCTGTTCCTTGAATTTCCTGAAAATTGACTTGATCATGCAATATAGTCTTTTAGCTGTAACACATCATCTCCTACTCAAATCTTGTAATCCAAACTACTCTTGACTAGTCAGACTAACCTTCCTAAAATACCATTTTGCACATCCATCCCACATGCTCCCCTCCACCACATACACAACCACTTCTCTTCCCTCTTTCTAACTTTAAAATCTTCCATCTCACCTGTTAACATCAATATCCTGGATGGTCTAGACCCTGATCAACCTACTTCCTTCTGTTTCCCCACCCTGACCCATAGACAGATGGGTTCAACAGTTCAAAGAGCACAAATTTGGAGCTTTGCAGAGTGATTGATATAGAACTCTGGTGAGTGGCCTTTGTTCTCTCCGCCTGAATTTTTTTCTTTGTAAAAAAGCAAAAATACTCTTCTTAAAAGTATTGATTTAGTATTGGTGAACCTATTTGGATAAAGCACTCAAGAAACCGTCGATAAAAGGGAGCTATTGGCCCTCCCTGGTGGCGCAATTGGTTAGGACGCAGCACTGCAAAGGAGCCTGTAGCGCTTCAGTGTGAGTTCGACTCCCACTCTGGAGGTGATCCACATGGAGTGGCAGACCTCTCCCGACCCACCTGCTGATCCCCTCAGCAGTGTACATCCTCGATCTGCCTGTTCTGCTCCCCACTCTGTCTCTGGTGAACCCTCTCACAGCCCCTGCCTGCACCTCTTGCTTATACCCCAGTTCTGTATGCATAAGTAGATAAATTAAAAAAAAAGGGGGGGAGCTATTATTATTATTATTGAAACTCTCACAGACATTCACAGTCTCTAAAAAGCTCTGGTGGAATTTCTCTTTTGAACTTTTACCCTCATTTCTTTCCCACTTGTAAAGGTCTTACTGCTTGTCTAAGGTTTATCCACTGTGGTAGGTAAAATACTAAGTTGTCCTCCTAGATTTCCCCTCATATAATCCCAGAACTATAAATATAATTAATTTCACTCCATGGTTAGATGTTATATAGCACAATCAATCTTTAGATAACAAGAAAATCCAGGTAGACCTGATAGAATCATATGTGAGCTCTTTGAAAGCTGAGCACTTTCTCTAGTTGTTCACAGAAAATGAAGTTAAAAAATAAAAGCACAAAAAGGACTAGATGAATTGTTGCTGGATTAAAGATGCAAGAGGCCACATGTCAAGGAATGCTGGCAGCCTCTGGAAGCTAAGAGTGGCCCCTGACTAACTGAAAACACAGAAATAAGGGCCTCATTCAGTAACATCAAGAATCAATTTCTTTCACAGGAAACATAGTGGCAGGAGAACTATGGAGACTGCATCAATATAAGAAAATAATTAATTAGTTAATGAAAAAATCACTCATTTCTACCCAAAAGAATGTTATAAGAAGCAGATTTTTCCCTCAAGCCTCCAATAAGAGCTCAGGCTTATAAACACCCTTAGGGTATTGAGTAGGGAACCTAGTCATAGCATTTAGGGTTTCTGACCTATTCTAATATGACATAATAAATGAGGTTGCTTGAAGTCATTAAGTTTGAGGTAATTTATCACAAAGCAATAGAATATTAATGTACCTACTTACAAGATCCACTTCTAGTCCGTTCTTTGTGATTTCCACTACAAGGCCCTGTTCTGAGGTGTTTATACTAACTCTTTGTCCTTCATCGCACTTATAATTGTCCTTTCATTGCATTACCATTTTACATTTCTTGTCTGTCTATGACAGAGGCTGCTAGATGTCCCCCAATAGCTGTTCCACTATTCTTCCAAAGCAATGGAATCCCAGACCTGTAGCTAGACACTTAGCCACATGGTTTTATTCTGACATTTGGCAAGTTACAAAGCTTCAGTTTTTTCACCTCTAAAGCATAAATAATAATGTTTTCAATGTCACTGATTGCAAAGGACTTAACACATAATAAGTACTCATAAAACATTACCAGAAGAATATGGGGTCAATTCTTAGCTGCACTAAGAACCATCTTAAAACTAAGTTACAAATAATGTGGTGAAGACCATGTGGTCAAGTTCCAAGTAGGAGGAGATCCCATAGGCCTGATGGTAAGAAAGAGTGTATGGAAGAGTAGAAATAAGTCTGACTTCAAAGGAAGACTAATGTTTGGTTAGGCAGGTTAGAAGTCAGACATCCCAGAATAAGCAAGGCATGGATGGAAGTGGAGGCTTGTTCTAGGACAGTGATTAAAGTAGTCAGACTAATGTGAATGCTCATATAAGTCAAAGATAAGGAAGAAAAGGTAATTTTCACAAAATTATAACCTACAACAGTTAAGGACTGTATGACACAACCGGCTTATGGTTGTGGCTAATTCAATCTTTGCCTTCTAATTAGTTTGAAGGACATGAATGATAGGAATCACTGTATGATATATACAAATACAGCATTTCTCAAATAATTGTGGAGGAGATTTTTGAGGTAGTAT